AGCCCCAAAAGGAAAACCACTGCTACATAAAGAAATGTACACTTGGAAACTTTCTTGAGACATTTCAAGGACTGTAATTCGGGACTTTGGACTAAAACTATCATTGTTGGCTTTATGAATAAGACTCATTGTCTGAATGTTTATAGGGTTCTTGGTTTGTTTGTTGCTAAGACCACTAGATGGTGGTAACTTTTAGAGGATATGTACGTGAAGGAATTTTCTTTGTCTTGCCCCTTTACAAATGGTATAAAAGCTTTCCAGTAGCCAACATTAAACGTCATCTGTTCAGGAAGCAGGTGTTCAAGTATAATATTTTCATCTTTCGCCTATCCATCTCTCCTTCAGGAAACCTCACACCCTTGGCAGGGGCTGGACCCTCACACATTGGTTTATTAGAACTTATGGGAGGTATCAATGGTGACTGACTGGTGAAGAAAGAATCTGCACTTTGGGACAGTACAACAACCAGTTTTATAATCAAGCAAGTTAATTATTCAAATTGCTACGATGTTTACAATTACATTGATAAAGGATGCCTTCTACACTGTTCTCATCTCTACTCAGTCACCAGCATCCCTTGACTCATTACTGGGAATATGCATATCCTTCAGAGACCAGCCTTGGCCAGAAGCTGCTCCCTGGAGGAGGGGACAAAAAGAGCCTATGGTCCAGACAATTATCCCACAGTCAGTATACTGAGCTTGATAACCCTACAGATTTATTATGAAAGTTTGAGGTTCCCATGAAATATTCAACTGTTGATGTCCCGTGTTTGAACCTTGACAGAGAAAGCTGAGATAAGTTTGCACAATGGGAGTGGCCACAGAATCATGCCTGCTACAAAGTAGGAAGAAAAGAAGGAAAGGACAGAACTCAGAAGACATAAGCATCTTACAAGCACAGAGAATAAGGAATGGATTGAGAAACAGTCACAGAGATAGGAACAAAATCAGGTGACGGTTTCTGCCTACAAATCACACAATTTGCAATTGTGTTTTTCTTTCATTTCAAACAACTTGCTAGACTTTTCTAATTGGATGCTGGTCTAACATCTCAAATTCCACATGTTTTCACCAAAAGAAAAGTTTTTACTTCTAATGTTCTTGTTTGTGTCAGTGTGATGAAAAGAAAGTTTTCTTCCCAGCTGAAACTGAAGCACTTGACTCCTTACCAACAATGTCTGTGCTTTGAGTTACTCTGCCCTGGCGTGTTTGACATCTCATTCAGAATTACTCGTTCTTTAAGGATCAGCTCACCACACGTCCTCCAAGAAGCCTTGCCTAATCCCAAAGTGTGAGTGAGGAACTTTGTGACTCATACCCTGCATATAGTTCTACCACCACAGTTATATTATTTTATACGTAATTTATAGTATAACTATAATATATAAGTATCTTTTCTTGTTTCTTTGGAGGCAGGAACCTTATTTATCTTTATATCCCACAATGAAATATAAATTAAATGTTTGTTGAACAGGGACAAACTAAATATTGAACAAACAAGGGGAACTAAACCAGAAAACAGATTCTCCCTTTTATTCCTTTTCTCACGATATCTGGAGGCATTTCCAGTTTTGTCCTGTGTCCATGTGCCATTTATTTATTTATTTTTAGAGACAGGTCTCGCTATGTTACCCAGACTAGTCTCAAACACCTAGGTTCAAGCAATCCTCCTGCCTTGGCCTCCCAAATTGTGGGGATTACAGGCATGAACCATCGTACCCAGCCACCATGTACTGCTCTATGAGTAAGCCTCCTAATCGCAATAACCTTTTTTTTAAATAACAGTCACACATCTCTATGATTTTCTTATAAAGTATTTTCATAGGCTAGTGGCCAGGTTTAGTCTCACCTCTCAAATATCAATTCTAACATGCATACACACTGAAATTTTTACTGGGATTAAATGGTCTGCCATCTATCTGAACTTTAGACAAGAACTACCACTTTATAAAGTAATCTATAATGCCAGGATGTGTTGGGAGTAAGGGGGTAGTGTTCATGGAAAAGAATTTTCATTGGTATTTATGAAATCTTTCTTTTAAAAAGTGTTTGTATTAGATGGTACTAAAGAGCTGATTTTAATGAACTAATCCCTTGAACATTATGCTTATTTATGGATCTGTATGAAGCAAAGCATTGTGGAACAGTAACTCAGGTAAGCACACAATATGTCTAGACGTTAAAGGTAATTATTTGCACAAAATATGTTTTAAACGAAATCATTCTCTGTCTTAAGAAAATAATATTTACCATAATATTCAACTAAAGGGGGGGTTACCTGTAAGTTAAATCTTTTGCATTCTATTGATACTTCGATTTATTTCAAAGCATTTCTTTGAGCTCTGTTGATAAAGGCCACATCTGCTTTTGAACACAGAGATTTTTAAAATAGATTCACTCTTGTTCCAGCACAAAGAAGTCAGGAGCTAGAGAGTTAGCTGTGAATCAGCTGTGAATCACTTGATTCTCAAGAAGTCCCTTCAGCTCACCAAGTCATAAGTTTTAGAATTTTCAGAGTGGAACTAATTCACATGTGACCTACTATGACACTGAAGGATGTATTGGCACCTTCTCTCAAAGCCTTGGGATAAATGTCTTATAAAAGAAATACTATCTTGAAATTGACTTTGACAGCCTTCAAGGGAGGCTGAATAATACAACAAAAATAAATTTGCATTAGCTATGTCTCATTTGGAAGCTACAAAAATAGAATTGATCATGAAGCATAAAGAATTGTCTATAGGACTCAACTACCAGAGCACTATTTAAGGCAAGACTGATATATAGTTCCCTGGGATGATTTGTACAAGTGTTTTGGTAAAACCCGACTTCTTTAATTAGTTTTCTCAGCATGATGGGGAATAAAAATTATCACCAAGGTGTACTACCATTCACATCTAGTTCAAGAGAAAGGAATGAAAACTAAGACACACTTCCCTGCAGACTCACCTACGTATCTAACGAAAGAGTATCCCATGGTACTGAGCACTGTTTAGGTCGAGGTAGTAGAGTGCTGAACTAAGCAGAAAGTCTTCCTAGACACTTAGTCCTTAACTTATGTATGTATGTATGTATGTATGTCCATCTGTATGGATGTATTTATGGAGTCGGGGTCTCCCTCTGTTGCCCAGGTTGAAGAGCACTGGCATAGTCTTGGCCTCCTTGGCCTCACCATGGTCTTGGTCTCCTTGGCCTCAGGTAATCCTTCTGCCTTAGCCTCCTGAGTAGCTAGGACTATAGGCACACGCCACCACATTTGGCTAAGTTTTTTGTTTTGTTTAGAGATGAGGTCTCACTATGTTGCCTGGGCTGGTCTTAAACTCCTGGGCTCACGCAATCTTTCCACCTCAGCCTCCCAAAGTGCTAGGATTACAGGTATGAGACACTGTGCCCCGACTCTCAACTAATTTAACCAATGCAACTTCAATAACTGCATGAAAAAAAATCACTCAGCAGTGAAGCCCTTAACAAATTGAGCAGAATATGTTTCTCTCAGTTCAAGAGAGAGTGGTCCTTGGGGGCTGGAGAAAAAAGGGACTCATGAGAAGATAGGAATTGTAGTGGATCTTGAAAATTGGCAAGATTGGAGTTGGGGAAAGAGGTTGGTAGATTCTGGTGGAGGAAAAGGGGACACTTTGGACCACACAGGAACTCTGCTATTTTGGTCAAATTTAATGCCAAACTCCTTTTCTAGTCTCCAACCAACCCCTTATACCTACATAGGCTATTCCACTATGCCAACATCACCCTTTCTTAGAAGTTTCTTAATCTGGACTGGGCGCGGTGACTCAAGCCTATATAATCCCAGCACTTTGAGAGGCTGAGTCCAGGGGTTCAAGACCAGCCCCGGCAACATGGTGAGATCTTGTCTCTACAATAAATCAAAAAATTAGCCGGGCCTAGTGGCCCGGCATCTGTAATTCCAGTTACTTGGAAGGCTGAGGCAGAAGGATCACCTGAGCCCAGCAGATGGAGACTGTGGTGGTGGTGAGTGTGCCACTGCACTCCAGCCTGGATGACAGAGTGAGGCTCCAACTCAAAAAAAAAAAAAGTAAAAAAAGTTTCTTAACCTGTTGCTGATTCCAGCGTTTGGAGTCTCATAGTTTTTGCTTCTCAAGAAGAGTTCATTTTACCTTTTAACCTTACGATAATATTATTATAATTCCGACAACAAATATTTATTGAACCTTTAAGTGCTAGGCACAACAGAATGCTTCACACAGACTTTCCGATTGAATTCTCACAACATCCCTACGTGTTGGGTGCTCTTAACCTCATTTGACAAATCTGGAAACTGAGGCAGAGAGGCTCGTCCAGGCCACGCAGCTAGTTACTTCTGATTGCGAGTGGTGTATGAGAATTAGTAAATTATATGGAAGAGTCTCTATTTCCCCTTAACACCCTGGAGTTTTTCCCCAGCCTAATCTAGCCAACCAGGGGCCAAAGGACTGTCCGTTTTAACCTTGGGTGATAAACTGCAAACCTGTTGGAAGCAACGAAGGGCCCCAGGGAGGAGTGAGAGGCCTCTGCGGGGACGGCCACCTGAAATCTGCTCCAGAACCTTCGAACCCCGGCGCGGGCTGCCGCGAGGACGCGGGTCCCCGTGTCACCCGTCTCTCTCCGTCGCGCCACCCGCGCTCCGGGCCCAACGCACACGCACAAAGCGCCCGACCTTTCGGGGCGACGGGCATCCTCGGGACCCGAACGCGGGACCGCGCAGTCCCCGCTCCGCCGCGCAAGGTGCGTCCCGGGGCGGGGACCCGGCGGCCCCCGCCCCCCCCGCCGGGCC